TCTCAGAAAGGACTGCAATAAGACAGCCTGCTCCAGAAGGCAACCCCAGACTAGTTAATGTTTGATGGCTAGTCAAGTAAACAATGGAAAGTTTCCACTGGTCATTTGTTGGCTTTATGACCTTGGACACATCATTTCTCCCCTCTCTGCCTCATTTCTTTGTCTTAAAGTAAGGATAATAACCATAGGGTTATTCTGAGTACTAAATGAATGAAAAGCTGTCAAGCAGTATCTGGCACAGACTAAGCAATACATAAAGGTTGTAATTATTACTATCATTATAAAAAACTAGTGTCCTGGTGCACGGATTCGTGCACATTGAAAGGAAATTAATTAGAAGAAATATTTTAATATCACTATATGTGTCTTGCTAATGAAAAGAAAATAGGATTCTACCGAGTCTCCTATCTACCTACTCCAGGACTTCTGTGAGGATCAAATGAGATGAGGCACGGGAAAACACTTCACAAACATTCGGTTAAATTGTAAAATGTCTGCACCTGGCTATAAAGCAAGTCGTGTTCCTGGGCTGAAGAAACTCCAAGGAGGCTAGTTGCTAGGGAGAGGAAGTCGGGCGTTGCTATGTGACGTCATTACCCAGTGCCCACAGCCACCGTTTCCAGGCTGGGCTGGGCTGTGGGCCGCATTTTGCGTCATGGGGCCTTGGCAGTGTTGGCTGCGATTTGGTGGGGTATCACTCCAGGGTAGTGGTGGGTCCTGTGCCCCACTTGGGGGAAGTCAAGTGTTGGTTTGTCGGTGCCAGATCATGGTGCCATTTATTTTTAAATGGCCAGTGCGTGTCATGGCAGCTCCTCCATTGAGTGTCTGCCCCCTGGTGGTCAATGTATGTCATAGCTACAGGCCAGAGAGATGGTCACTTAGCCTTTAATATATATAGATAATACCTAAGGAGCTAATAAGTCTAATATAAATTCTAAAAACATAAATAATCTAACACTAATGTACACTAAGTGCAAAGACAGGGTAAGCTGCAGGTAGGTCTCACAGAAGCCTAACGGCCTTAACTCAGTCACTGAAATCCTATGGTACAAATATTACCCATTGTGTGTTTGAACAGGGAAAACATGGGTACATTAGCTCATTTATCTGTGTTTTAAAGAAACAAAACTATCACAGAAACCTCATGAACTTCTGTGAAGCTTTCCAGTCTAGTTGTCTGGAACATCTTTTGTATATAAGAATGATGGCACCCAGTCAGCATGGCTCAGTGGTTGAGCATTGACCTATGAACCAGGAGGTCACGGTTCAATTCCCAGTCAGGGCACATGCCTGGGGTTGCCAGCTCGATCCCCAGTGAGGGGTGTGCAGGATGCAGCCAATCAATGATTCTCTCTCATCAGTGATGGTTCTATCTCTCTCTCTCTCCCTCTCTCTTCCTCTCTGAAATCAATAAAAATATATTTAAAGAAAAAGAATGATGGTACTTGAGCACCTCAGCTTTTGTTATATGCTCTACTTGTTATGTACTGTACTAGAATAAAGAATTGAGACGTAACCTACATAATTTTATTAACCAACTAGTGGCCCATTGCACGAAGATTCGTGCAATAGGCCTTCCTTCCCCTGGCTGCCGGCACTGGTTTTTCTCCAGCACCCAGGACCCAGGCCTTTGGTCCAGCCGCAGCAGCGAGGCTTGGCTTCCCCGCTGCAGCCGCAGCAGCAAGCTTGGTTTCTCCGCTCCGGCTGCTCCCAGCCCCTCCTTTTTTTTTTCTACCTCCTTGAGCGGAGCCCAGGGCGGGCTGGAAGTCTGGGTCGCCCCTGGTGACCCAGGCCCCCAGCCACTCCTTGAGCAGAGTCCAGGGCCAGCAGGAAGTTTGGTTTCCTCCATTGCCGGGAGCAACCCAAGCTTCCTGCTCGCTCCAGCTCCATGGCTACTGCCATCTTCAATCATCTTCAGTCTTCACTCTGTGCCTGTGTATGCAAATTAACCGCCATCTTTGTTGGGTTAATTTGCATAGTCGCTGATTGGCTGGTGTGTGTAGCGGAGTGATGGTTAATTTGCATGTTTCTCTTTTATTATATAGGATGTTACCCTGATAAATTTAATTAAGAATTGATGTAGTTTTAAAATGTTTACTAATCGCCCTAGCTGGTTTGGCTCAGTGCCGTGGTCGGCAAATCGCGGCTCGTGAGTCACATGCGGCTCTTTGGCCCCTTGAGTGTGGCTCTTCCACAAAATACCATGTGCAGGCGTGCAAGTACAGTGCGATTGAAACTTCATGGCCCATGCGCAGAAGTCGGTATTTTGTGGAAGAGCCACACTCAAGGGGCCAAAGAGCCGAATGTGGCTCGCGAGCCGCGGTTTGCAGAGCCACAGTTTGCCGACCACTGGCTCAGTGGATAGAGCATAGGCCTGCGAACTGAAAGGTCCCAGGTTCGATTCCAGTCAAGGGTTTCGGGCTTGATCCCCACTGGGGGGCTTGCAGGAGGCAACCGATCAATAATTCTCTCTCATCATTGATGTTTCTATCTCTCTCTCCCTCTTCCTTTCTCTCTGAAATCAATAAAAATATATATTAAAAAAATAAAATGTTTACTAATCATCTAACAATACTACTGCACGCACACACACACATATATATACACACGCACTACATATACATATATAAATATATATATATATTAATATATGTACACACATATCCTATTTAACTTAAATCTGTTCTCTTGTCCAGCCTCTAACACAGAATGAATTTCTATGGAAAATGCTCCTGAACAACAGCAGCAATTCTTAATCCTGGATGCATCTTAGAATTACCTCAAGAGCTTTAACCATGATCAAAGGCCCAGTCCTACATTTCTGAGCTAATTGAAACCAATGCTGAGAACTGCTGGGTAGGTAAATCCCACAAGTATTACATGAACTTGGGAAACAAAGAAAACACTGTTTAAATATTTCTGGGTTTAAAGCAGTATCATGGTATGCACTACAGCCTAAATTAGAAATCCTCTTAACCTGACCTAGTCTCTTAAACTATCCTGAACCTACAAAACAAGAATTGGTGGTCTTCCAAATGTTTTCTGAAAAGAGAGTGATGACCAAAGTTAGATTTCTTTCATGTGAAAGAACACACAATACTATTCTACCTCGTGTGTGTGTGTGTGTGTGTGTGTGTGTGTGTGTTTCCCTACTATAGTAACAGTATACAGCCTGGCTCTAAGAAATGCGAATCTTCCTTCTGTTTGTATTTTTAATCCATTATTTAAAACATAAAGCCTCACCCTGGTGCATGGGTCATCCCATGCACCTAAAGATTGCTGGTTCCGATTCCCCCTCAGGGCACAAACCAGGCTTGAGGGTTCCATCCCCAGTAGGGGGCTTGCAGGAGGCAGCAAATCCATGTTACCCTGTAACATAGATGTCTTTCTCCCTCCCCTCCCTCTCTCTAAAAATCAATAAAAATATTTTTTAAAATAATAAATAAAACATAAATCCTCTACCCGATATTAGTTCACAGCATAAAGGAGAAATTATTGACAAATGTTTTGCCTGTCATATTAGCATAACTGGGGCGATGGGGGATAGCCCTTGGGAGTGGGAATCACAGTGGGGGGGGGTGTCAATCGGGGAAAAAGACAAATGTAAAACTTTAGACAATAAATATATATATGTTAAATAAATAGATAAAAATGTTTTTGCCTGTCAACACAGTATAGGACTGGGTAATGGCTTTCTTTTTTAAACTCATTCACTCACTCATTTCTTTAAAATGCAATACTTATTAACTTTTTCATATGCTAGACACTTCTTTCAGGTGCTTGTGACTATAGCAGTGATCAAGACATACCTTTTAACATCCTTTAGATGCCTTTAAATGCATAAATTTAAAAATAAAGTATTCATGTAGTTCAAAAAAATCTAAAGAGTAGGTTAAGATAATGGAAGTCTAAAATAATAACACTAGAAATGTCATCTGGAACTTCTAATTTAATGAGCACCTATTATAAACAATATGTTGCATTGGTCTCTTTATATGTGGTACTCATTTAATACAGTTGCTGTCCTAAGGAAATTAAATCACTACTTAGAAGAAATTTTAAAAGGCCAAACATTCTTTTAATGGAGTTTAAATTTGGCTTTCCACACTGGAGGAAATACTCCATCCTAAAGTTGACAAGAATTAATTATGGCAAAGTTGTATCAATTCATTCATACAAGAATTTTTTCCAGATTACTTCAACCACATCAACTGTGAGAATTTTGGGTTAAAAAAAGAAAAATCAAGTTGTCATAAAAATATATTTCAAATTTCTTAAAGTTGAAAATTATGTAAACTCTAAGTACGATGCATAAACTGCCCATCTGTAGATATTAAGCCGTGTAGCTTATTGATAAAATCGTACTAATGAAGATATTATAAAAACAACAGTAAAATAAACTTTACTAGGTACAGTGATCAGTTTTTTAACTTCCTTTACAAAAACTAGTCCAGACCAAAAGTCACTCAGATCAATCAGGAATTCATAGAACTGTAATTTGGCCCCAAGCAAAAACGGACAACTTAATACAAAACTTTCTAACAATACTCTAAAGAAATTTTTTTAAACGTTCGGGTGGAGTTAGACTCCAATCCCTCAACCGCCTCGGGGGGAGAGGGGATAGAAGGGGGCCCCTCGGTTTTTTAATTTTTAAAGAAAAGCTGGCGGGGGACAGCCAAGTGGAGTGAATTATGTAGTTAGTTTTTCTGGAGCAGACACAGGCCAACCTGTCTCCATTTCTACGTAGAGACTAATCCAAAAGGGTAGTCAATCCTCAGGTTCGCCAAACGTGTCCACTCCTTCACCTTTTTAAAAAGTAAACAGCTTGGCTGTGGCCCAGACAGACCGCCCCCGCCCGCGGGACACGAGCCGCTGGTGGCCAGGGCCGGCTCCTGCCACCTGACCGGGCCTGCCCGCGGTACACGAGCCGGGTCCGCATCCGCTCAGGGCCAGGCAGCCCGGCCGCGGGAGGGGGCAGGTCCCCGCCGGGCCGCGCTCACCGTCGATGTTCTCCCGGTCGCTGATGTGCTGCAAGTTGCAGCCCGTGTCCTCGCGGCTCAGGTCGGCGTCGGGCCGGTAGGACTCCAGCCGGGAGTGCGCATTCCTCCGGAGCTTGGGGCTGGACGACACGCAGCACGAGGTAGTGTTCCCCATCGTCGGCGGCCCGGAGCCTGCG